TTATTTTTTGGAACCATTAAAAATTCTGAAAGGCCTTCGTAATTGATTGTCATGATTATCTGATGAGCAAAACTGACAGAGGAAGGATTCATCAATTTATTTATGAGCAACAATGGTAAATAACATTATGTCTGTAAATATTAATGCATCCTTGTCAACACCATCCAAAACCAAGGGGAAGAGTTTAAAAAGTGATAGCGAGTAGCAAGACGAAAAACTATAGGTCGGTATAAACAGTACACTTTGTGAAACATTGAAAAATATATTGATTATCTATGATTATCTTTTGAAACGCTTAGATATTCGACTGGTAACTAAAGGAAATGACAGGTGTCATATCTATTCTTCTTTATGTTGAATATCGTAATGAAGAAGCCATCAGAGTGTATGTCTGATTGTGTATGGTGGAATTTAGTGTTGACTGGTAGTAGTATGCAGAGTGTTAACTAGTTAAATTGATTCCACTGGTGTTAACGAAGCATATCTGTAAGTCTTGAAATTACTTACTTGTCTTAATAAGTACAGATAGTCTTGACACAATTATCTTATCAAAAAGTGTAGTAAAACAACATTGTTTGAAAATATACACATGCCTACATTCAGTGCTCTGTATACCTATTGCTTCCAATACAGAATTAGGATCTTGGCTTGTGTCAGCTGGCATGCACACATGTGACAACAAGACATTGAAATAAAACTTCACTATGGAAAACATTATAACCTGATTTGGTAATGCATAATATCATGTGACAATGATTATAAAACCAGAAGTTTACATGTTATAATGTCTCTGGTAAATGTTATAAAATGATACTGGGATGACTCTTTCTTGTACTTGAAACAACCACGAACAACGAGATGACATTGCTCTGCAGTTATCAATTGAGATACACAATGCACACATGTACTGCTGGTGGTCAAGGACAATTTATGTCTCTGTAACTCAACCAGTTTTACAAATACCAACATCTAAACTTCAAACAGTAAAGTATTATATTCATATTAATGATTTATTCTTTGATGAAACTAATTTCCTTAACGCTTCACATTTAGCCATGCTAGCACTATCTGTATAAAGTCTAGAGGTGTTAATGTGCCAAGATGTTGATCCCCCTATACATATTTTTGTATCTGAAACTAAAACTTTTTGTATGTGTCCCATGATGTTTCATGATTATGCTAGCTTATTTGTATAAAACATTCATCTGTCTACATGTGCCAATCTGTCAATCTTACTAGAGTAAAATTGTCATAACATTTTTTTCACAGAAACTGAAACCTTGTATATTAATATATTATGATCATATTACGTAATCTAGTACCATATTTTCCAGATTAGAAGTTGCAACTTTTTCCCTCGTAAGTTGGGCCTGTGACTTATGTAAATGTAGTGTACCAGTACGAAACAGTACTTTTTTTCATTGATAACCTGCCCACCATGTGTTTGTGACTGAAACAGATTGTGCAGAACCGTCACTTGTAATTCTGTATACAGAATGATTTGAAGAATTGCAATAGAAATAACATTCTCATGTATCTAATTTACCATACCTTTGTACAAATCACAATAATATCTTCTTGAATTTAATGGCTACTTTGCAGCAATTGCACAAAGGCATGGCGGAAGTTTACAGTAGCTTATTGCATGCAGGGATCAATAAGTCATTGGGTAACAGGTCAAATTCTAGAATAAGCACCATGCTAATTTACGATATGACTGGCTTCATGTAAATTACAAGAAATAATATTGGACTTCCAGAATTTTGTCAGCACGCAACCGCCTTCATTGATATTTAACATTACAGGCTCCAATGGAGAGATTGTTTAGTAAGCTGTATGTAACATCAGACCCTGTATCTGTGCATAGACAATCTTGATCAAAATTAATGTGTACACTTTATTAAAAACTTCATTAAATGTTTGACTGATGATCTTGATACATTGTATTCTGTTTTCTGTTATATTTACAAACTTTGGATACCATAATGTTTATCATATCATCAGAAAGGTTGCGGCTTATATTTCGATGTGGCTTAGATGTGGATGAAATGAAAAAAATCAATAAAAATTGGCTCTGCAGCTTATATACCTGTGCAACTTACAACCCAGAAAATATGGTACTTTAAGATACAATTTGGAAATGTTGCCTTCCAGTGTTACATAATGTCGCTGGCAATCAAGGAAAATTCAACTCTGTTACTCAACCATTTTTACAAATATGTACATGAAATATTATAATCATATCTTTGATGCCACTAACTATATTTGTTATCTTTATATTTTCACTCGGACCTTGTCATGATTGTATGTGTGAGTGGTGGTGCCAGTTAATGCCATGCCATTGAGGTTTCCGACAAGTTGCTGTTACTTCCTAAGTCTTAAGTATGCATACGGAGGAACAATTTCCAAAACATCAAAGAATGTCTTTCAGATGTTTGAAGACAAAATAATCAAACATGAATCAAACTTGATGTACCTATTTTTGAATAATAAATGAAACATTAAATCGCCACAAATCAATGCTGTATGAGTGTTGCAATCCTTAAATCCACATCAACACACTTTTCATATAAAAATGAAGATGTCAAATAAAAGATTTGAACATAAAAATTACATTAAATGTTGATGATGTAAGCAACTTTCCAAGACCATTTTCTCAGGCACAGAACGATTATAGGGATTGCTGAAGATGCAAAAGATTTTTGGTCACAATATTGTCTTTCATGTCATTAATTTATGTTTAAAACATTATGAAGTGGGCATAAAAATTCTGTTCTCAAACAATGTTTTCTTCACAAGATGCAAAAGATTTTTGGTCACAATATTGTCTTTCATGTCATTAATTTATGTTTAAAACATTATGAAGTGGGCATAAAAATTCTGTTCTCAAACAATGTTTTCTTCACGCTATGTTTCACAACATCTGATTGGCAATTGAAAAATTAAATAACAACCAATGAAAGTAGCATTTCATTGGACAGTTCATCACTTAGTAGTTTTTATGGTGGCAATAGCTCAAAGAAAATCATCTTTCATACATAAATCTATTGAAGTTGCCAAGATTCATACCATATATATGTATCAACATTGCAGGTGATATGAATGAATTCTAAGAAAAAATATCAGCTGATGACATGTAGTGTCTCATACACATGGGCGTGTAGCCAGAACTATCATAAATTTAACATGTACTGTGAATATGGTATAATCATTCATGATAAACAAATATATAACAGTTCACAAAAAAACCCTTTCTTTTCAGAAAAATGAAGCAAATTACATTTTTTCCCTCAAACAATCAATGTGATGAAAACAAAATAGATTGCATTTAGTGCATCAGAAAATTCACTTCCCTGTTAAGAAGGCTACAAAATGTGTGAACTGTTATGTCACATTTTGGTTAGTACCATCACATTTACTTCTAACAAGTTGTGACATATGATCTAAAATAGTTTTCACTCTATTCCCAAAAGAATTGCATGCCAAAAGTTAAAACGTACAAAAAAAGATGACTGAATTATATCTACCTTCATTACTGACCATTGTGGTTTGAGGATTAGTATCATCAAAAATACTATTTGTTGGTACCAAAATCGTATCATTGTGTTGGTTTGAAGACATAGACCCACTCATAGATCATAACGAGCAAAATGAACAAAAAATAAAAGTTTTTTTTAAAAATGCCATCCTCATAATTTAAAAATATATCACTGTTTATTTACAATAACAATGTTAAGACTTAACAAGATATCTGAGATGGATCTTGGCATCCACCATCATTTTATCTTTTCATGTTCTTTAAAAGCTTTATCTTTTTCCTCCTTTCCATATTTGTTTCTGCTTTTGCTCTTACTCGTATCAAAGTTGAAAAATTCTGTTTTCTTTAAACTGCCAAATCCAAGATAGCCCCCTTGCTGCCCTTTAGTCATTTTATTTTTCCCAAAATGGAATGGGCACAACTAGAGATCAAGGGGAACTCACATATGTGTACCTGGAAAAAGATTCATCCAGTGCTTTTTGAGAAATAGCAACAAACTTTTACAGTCACAATCCATGATAGCCATCTGATCAGTTTCAAAATGATACTGGAACAATTGGGGACTAAGGGAATCCCACATATGATATTCAAGACAGATCCATCTAGAGCTCCTCAAAAAATAGCACCGAACAAGTTTTCCTTAAATCTGTTAATGGTGAGCTAAACATTTTACAATAGTTTTTCATTTGAATTTGATTTTTACTTTTGTTTGCTCGTGGCATCAGCACTATGTTTAAGCTAATTAAATGCATCTGCTACTGAATTCCATCGAAATTCCATAGTAGTACAGAGTAAGTATCCAATTTATGGATTGCATGATTTACAAATCACATTATTTGCTAAAGGTAAAGGTGCATGTTATCAATACCATTAAGTTCACTTTTAGGAGGTGCCCATTTTATATTGAAGTGCTCAATTATGTAACACTGACCATCATATATGTAGTGAAATTTTAAAGCATCAAACACATTGTACTTAAATGATAGTATACAGGCCCAGGAACTATTACTTTCAAAAGCATTTACAAATCTGTCTTTAGAGATCTAAATAAATTCTGAAACACTAGACAAGTCATTAAGAAACAATCTTAAAGTCACACGTGTATTGTGTGTGTGTGCAGTCCTGAGAGCGAATGTGTATTTGAACCACTTAATGAAAATATGTATAGCAAGACTCTATAAAATAGATCCGGTGGTGTGCGTCTATATTTACCAAAAGAAACTAACTGAACATAAAAAGTCACGTAGTTCACGAACGATAGAATAAAATAAAACTTTCTTCTTCACCTCCTGAACTTTTCCCCGGCAGTAACCTTATCTGGGTCACTGCAAAACTAAGGTTCCGTGATGAAAAGGTGAAGTAAACAGCGATGTTTATATCGACCACACGATCAATCTCAAACCAATACTTACGAAAGTCCTTAAATCACTAATATTGTATCCGTCAGCAACTATATAATTACCTGATGCAAAGCTGTAAGTCCATCAATATTTGCAGTGTTGATATCTGCATTCTTTTCGATCATTCGTAAAACTTCATCACAATCTCCGCTTGAACACGCGGCAAGGAAAACACATCCATCCTGAAATTTTACTTTTTTGTTATGTGTAGACAGTGTAGTTGAAGCCTTATTTGTGTCAGATTCTTCCCATCGTTTCAATTGATCGTGCCTTCTTAGCAGGGCACTAGGTTGTTTTTCGTCCGCCATGACAGCTGCACACTGAAATGCAAATTCTCGAAAAGATCTCGCGATAAATCACTGAAATCTCGCAGCGACTGTCCAATGCAAGATGGCGACTATCATTGCCACCGGGACGAAAGGCATGGGTTGTATGCGGTCAGCTTCGACTGTTGTTCGCAGACAAACCAAGTTACGTGCTCTGGAAGCATCAAGATGTTGCTCTACGGAAACAGTAAATGATGACGATATTCTAAATAAGATGATCAGAGTTAGAAAGTCTGGTATGTGCTTGTTAGGCCCAAGTTTAGAAATCGTTCAACTATTTAAAGGGCCCAACACGAAATGACAATACAGATACCAGCCTCATCTATCTATACACTCATTGTAAAATGCATTATACGATGAAGATATTGATAGAAGTGGCTAGTGCCTATTAAAACATTAGGTCTGGCTAAATTTCTTGAAATACTGCATGTCCTAACTATTGATACAGGTACTGGAGCACCAACAAATCTGCCTATGGCTATATAGTCAAATCTTACTATACGTATATTGTAAATAACTGAGTTATACCTAGTCACGATCATGGTGTGCACATCGAGAAAATGGACGACCAATCTCGTGAGTTGTTAAACGGGATGATTTCTGTCATAAGACACCATTTCCCGTGATTGAGTTGAGATTAGTTTCGTCATGGCAAGTTTTGATACTTCTTCACTTTATCCACATATTCTGGTGGTGAGACATGATTTTCCTTAATTCATTATTAAAACACCTTATATCTCACTTGCTTCCACCACACGATTCACATTCATTGCAGTTTATAAATTAATGTATTATTTTTATATTTTTTTGCACTGAAACATCATGCTGTCAGCACACCTGTGTTCAAAATCTGAGCCAAAGGGATGTTTATCTGCAGATGACACAAGATGTGAATGACACCATATTGGATGGACTCACTATAGAGTTTGTTACTAAATAGCAAAAAAAAAAAAAAGTAGACACTGAAAAGATGTAATGATGAAAATTTTCTTTAAAATGCCTTAAATAACAAATATGTCAAAAACTTTCATTTCACTGACTTACATGTGACCAGACCTCACCTATTTACATTTGCCCTATATAAGTATAGTTAAATTTGACTATGTAGCCATATTTGCGTATATAGGCAGAATTGCTGGTGCTCCAGTACCTGTAATATGAAATATGGCAAAGCCATTTGGAGCAAGCGTATTTGGTGACAATAATTAGGTTAACTGAAAATAAGGAACTCTTCCTTCCTTAAAAATATTGTATTGATTGTGTTCCTTGCTAGTTCATAATGTTTTGCTTTTCTTCATTTGTCCTTTCGGACAATCACTTTTTTAGCTGAGTAAGACACTAATCACTTAGCCAGATCCTTGTTGTCTACACACGTGATGAAGCGTCTTGTTGACAAAGACTACTTGTTGCTATGTCTGCCAAGTTGCTATCTGCCATTGGCCAAAAGCATTACTTTTAATTCCACTTTCTTGTCAAAACTTCATGACTGATAATATGTGTGGATTTTTTAACATTATTTTGGTGGGGCCCCTTGAGCTTCACTACCTATCAGGTCAAGGGAAACTACAAATTTGCATATATTAAAAAAACAAGTCTATTAAACAGGGTATGGATTTGTTACTAAAAATAGCAAAAATCCTTTCAACTGTAATTTTTACAACGTGTCATCACTTCTTTTGAGACAAAGCCCTGTCCATCCAGTACATGTACATTGCCATAATCGATCCAGCTCTCTGGTATGGACTGTCACAGTAACTCAATGACGTCTTGGGTAATGTTGAAGCAGTCTTCATTGGTCAGATGCTATCCCTAAAGAGAGTCATTGTTTGGTTATAATATTATATACAAAATTGCTCTCCTGATACTAGAATATTTGCCCAGTCAAAACAATTAATTCCAAATTAACAGATTTTCTGCAAACTATACCTAGTTTTAATGTGAAATATTATTTAGATGAATAAAAATAAAGTAAAAGTGTGATACAGCATACATCATTGCAACATTTGTGATATGTTCATATAAGGGAGATTACCCTTATCTCTGTCACCAAGCCATTTGATCTCTTCATAGAATTTTCAAGAGATTGTTGAGCAAGTCTATTTCTCCACCTGAGTATTGTTTCCAATTTAAGAACCATGTGATTATCATTGGCAACATATGGGAAGGGAAGCAACTCTTGTTTGATGTGCCATTTTCCAGCTATGGAAGAGTTACCCTTGGGCACCCACAGCACTGGGCAAAAAATGTAATATATGAAAATATCATGAAAACAAAATTGATAGAGAAGTATTGTCGAAAAGGCAAATTCTGGAACCGTATAATGTACCCTTGGTCAAATCCTGAAAAGAACGCATCATTTGCTAAACTATCATATGTATGTAGAATTATTACATAGCTTTACCTGACTGAAACAGGTAGCAGACTAACATAAAGCATAGACATCTATCATTAAGATTGTGAAAATCTGTAATCATAATTTCTCCAAAACTTGGTTTCTCTTATTCCTGAGTTGTGCTCTTTTGATTTTTGGTCAGATCAGAAAAACATGATGGTTGACAGGGAGTCGTCTTGGATTTTGAATAGGAAAGATTGATATAGCTATTCCTTGAGAAGTACTGAATGAACTGTCACAATTCATAGATTTGTTATAAAACATAATACCTGATAGACATCCATCTTGGATTTTGACTATGAAAGTTTTATATTGTTATTTCTTGAGAGATACGGGATGGATTTTTCTCAGATATCTTATACAGGTTCCCCGTGGTCCAAAGGTGTTTCCTTTTGAATTTGGACGGATCAAAAGAACAAAATGGTCAATAGGCAACTATCTCGTATATGGCAGATATAATTATCAGGAGTTAACAATTTTCATATGATAAAGAGCCAAATCAAAGAAAAGAAGAGAAAATCAGTGAAAGATCAAACTTTTAAAAGTAAAATGAAGATTTAACAATTATGTGTGCAAAGATCCCCTCTTGTTATCACGTAAAAATTTACAGTGCATGCAGTACATGTTGTTCATTGCTGACATGTTAGATGGATATATGAATTTTATCAAACCAGTACTGACCACAAGTCTTAATTGGTTAATAACACTCAAGAGGTACTGATACACACTGGCCACTAATTGGGTTTCCTGCACACAAAAGAGCTTCAGGTCCCAATTCAAGACATAATTTGATTGAAGTCTTGTGCTTTTTGACATTACTGAGGTAATGCTATTTATAATTTACATAACATTCAATTATGCTTCTCCAAATGCAATATGTATTTATTTCACATATTAAGATTGAAAAAAAAATAATGAAAAATGCTAAATATGTTTGTTTAAAAAGTATCAGTCATGAACCACGGTATGTAAAACTTTAGTCATTGAGTTCATTGGACATTCAGTAAAAGTCATTTAACTTCTGTAAACTCAAATGGAGTTGCAAAATGAAGGCCATATATTACATCTGTCATTTGAAACAAACATCCATGTAGAGCTATATGCTATATCAAAGTTATTTCATGTAAATAAAACCTAGAGTTCATATCTTTTTAAGTGTAGACATGTGATACACTATTATTTTCTAAATCATTACTTATTTACAATTACTTAAATATAAATTTTGTACATATATTATTAGCATTATATATACAAGGGTTTCCAGAAAAATTTAAATAGTCACATTGGACATTTGGGATGAACTTTGAATATTGCAATAGCAGTATGATATAGTTAGGGGTGTAGAGAATGTGTACTACATTTATCAATTGAAAAAAAAAATCCCCTGACTTAAAAAGGTTCACTAGAATGTCCACTTATCTTTTGAACATGAATTGCATATATCTCAACATGGATTGAATTTTCATCTAAGAAAATATTTTGTTTTATTTCAGACAACGAAGATTTTATACCATTTGAAATTAAAGGAAAAGAAACACGACAGCTTATACGACCTAGTAGAGTCTGGAAGAAATTTTCATTCTTGGTAAGGAGTTATGTATAATGGTAATTTCCTACTCATACACTACATTTTGCATAACTTATTAGAAAAAAAATTGTGGGATGGGTAAGGGGGATGACAATAGTTCTAAGCTATGGACTTTACAGCCCCAGGTGAAGATATGAGATGTTGGGTTGTTATACTGTTTTTGGGATCAAAATAAAAATTACACTCCATAAATTTCAATCAAATCTGTTGAAATCTATTTGCCTATAGTTTCTTTGAAATGGTAGAGTGACATGCATAGCCAGTGAGGATTAAGTTGGTCACAGATAAATGGATCAGCTGTCTTGGAGGCTTGGGACAAATTGGTCATATTGGCTGAAAGTTTTACAAATAATTGGACAGACTTTCCTGGAAACTGAGGGCTGCGGTACATAGTGGTCATAATGATAGTTGAACTCTTTTGTCACAGTGATAAATCTTTGTATGAGTCCTGTACTCATAGAATTTTGATAGAACTTGTAGAATTTCTGAAAATGCTTTAATTTTACATTATGGAACCCACTACTTTTAGCAATAAAGTTGAAAATGAATTTTAGATTGTTAACTGTAGTTGTTGCCACAAAAGTTTACATCACAAATTTTGGGACAGCATCCTTAGACTATGGAATCAGAAGTTACAGGTGTGAATATTTACACAGTCTATACTCTTCAACCTCTTTTACAGAATATTTAATGTACTTTAGTGGTGAAGCTTGCCATTCTGTCTCATTCTATATCTCTTTGGTGTGTGCTGCATCTTTATCTAGACTTGGTTCATGATCATCAGTAGATACATTTTAGGTCAACACTTCCCCCACCCCATCACCCAACCCCTCAACTCCATCCATGCTATGTAGTGATTTCATCTATTTCCAGATTTTAATTCAACATAGTCAAGTGTATGATTATTGTCGAGATTTTACATATAATTGTTATTATTTGTGAAGATTTGTGAAGAAAAACTACATGTATCATAACTTAAATAATTTGTTCATATAGAAACATGAGGACAGACACAAAAAGATGTCAACAGACCAGGACTGGACCAAAGCATGGCCAACAGCAGGAGTATTTAAATGGTCTGCAGTACCCCTGTCTCTCCGCCAGGGAGCTATAAGGGTGGGTATATATAGTAGGAATATTTTTGTAAATGAATGTTGAATATGAACATGGGCATGCATTAATATGTACATCATGTGCCTCTTACTTGTTGATATGGATGATTTGATACCATGACAGTTTACAAATAAACCACACATCACCAAACAATCTTTTAGACTTCATGATTTGGTTTTTCGAAAGACCTTCAACATTCAATTTTTCTAATAGCCTTTAATTGAAATGATTTAATATTATTTCAGAATGAATCGGAAAATGAAGGAATAAAACCAGGGAAAGAGGGAAACACAGAATTGTTGAAGATCCCCAATTTCTTACACCTGACACCACCTCATGTGTTTAAACATTGTCAGGCATTGAAGAGTATGTTGCAATATTAACCTAGATTCGCTGAACATTTTCTTTGTCAAAAGTAAAGTAGAGCCAAAGATGATCTCATTCAACTGCCAAAATATCAGTTTATTTTAAAAGAATCTTAAGATTAACACTGAAGCAATGTCATTGGATAAATGATGGAGAAACTGTCATGATTCTGACAAAATATTGGAAAACATGCTAGAATGAAAGGTCCAATCATTTGAATCAACATTTTCTTTCACCTTTAAAGCTTAACATATATGCTGTATTCTCTAACATTTTAAATTTTTTGCAAATTATTTTGTCATTACATGTGTTTTTCCTTATCGTTGTTTGTGTAAAACATGCTTGACTTCTTACAGAATTCTGCACTCCGTGGCCAGAGGGTTTAGACAGTAAAGAAGACTGTCGTCTTCATTTCCCAGTTGAAGTGGTAACCAGTGATTACTGCTTTGCAGCACCATCTATCCGAGATCCAAGGTCACGGGTTGTCACAGTCAAGGTTAGCTATGAAATATAAAAAAACAAAAACAGCTAGTTGAAGATTCTCTTAGCATTCAGGCTTGACCACAGTTTCCTTGTTTACAGTGGGAAAACAAGCACTTTGATGCATTTGTCATTGAATAATTAAGAATGGACTTTTCAGTTTTCATCTAATTCAGGAAAAGGGATTTGGCAATGATAGGATTAGTTGTTTTTGTGGAAAATCCAATAATGTCACTCTTTGGAATTCCTGTTGGAAATTGGTTTGCTTCATTGCAAATACAAATTGTTAAAGGAGCTTAGCAATTTCCCTATACATGTATTTAATGTTGGTGTGATGCCAATCTTTACAGAATCAATCCAGCTTTATTTATTTTATTTCCATGTACTTACAATATCATTGAATAGTGTAGGATATGAAAATTCTCTAATATGACTAAGACATTTCTACTTCAGGTGAAGTTATCAGATCTAGAACTAGATCAACATGCACATCAGAAGCTGCTGAAACTAGTGGGTGATCGATACAACAAGGAAACTGATGTAATCACGTTCAAGACTGATAAGTAAGTGTTATATTTGCAGCAGCACTATTGTAGTACATAGTACATGAAAACTATTTTGATGAAATATGGAAATCGCATTTTTAAAAAAAAAACATTTTTTGGGTGAATAAAATGTCAACCATCAAGATAAAAGCTTCGAGGTCAAGCAATTAGTTTCTTGTGGCCTTTGCTGAACCTATTAAATCTGACCTTTTGATGATATCTTTGTCAAACTTGTTAAACTTGGTTCACTGGTATAAAATGGCATCATTCTGAGTTAAAAGGTGAAATTACAACAAGAAAAAAATTCTTCGAAAATATTCAGGCTCAAAAGAGATTTTTTTTTTGTATGCTGTATATTTCCATATGGAGGCTGTCTGAAACCAGTAGTAAAAATGTTTTAATTGTTTGTTGAACTGACCATGTTTCTGACTCCATTGAACCTACATATACATTATCATATTATCACAAACAAATCTGCTAGAGTTCTTTATTACTTTCAAGTTCAAACATCTTCAGTACTCTATACTTTTAAATGGCATCCCTGTATTGCTGGCTGTAACCTTGAAAAAATGACGTAATTCATAGGTACAGCTATAGGTCAGAAATCAAGCATATGTGCCACAATAGATAAAAAATCATTTACAATGACAGAATTCATTACATGCAAAATATTCATTTTATTGAATAACAAAGTAAACCGTAGGAAATCTGTCAAAGACATACTGCTTGGACGACTATTATATAATTGATATAAACATGTAAGGTTAAACACACACATCTGGCCTATTGAAGCTCTGTCATCTTACCTTGAAAACAGCTTGCTTTCACCCTCCAAACATAAAACTGCATGGAGCATTCACCTTTGTTTCTTTTGTCTATGTGCTCGGGTTAATATACCTTAATATGGACACAGTATGTATCACATGACTGAATCACATTTCAGGTATAATCACATGACTAGTATAAGCAAATTGACGGCTAATATGATGTGGTAGAAGCTTTCCGCGTCTCTAATGAATCATCATTTGCATATTCAAAGTCATTTCTAGATCAGTGTTCACGGAATCAGATGTTTACAAATATGTCTGCAGAGGTGAATGCACAAAATAAAGTACCGTATTCACAATATCTAAGTGATTTACAGAATCTACATTTCACACCCATCTTGTTTGACATGTAAATTCTATAATTACAAGTCTAAACATTATACGAAAATAAAATAAAAAAAGTTTGGAAATTTATCTGAATTTCATCACATCTTCATATAAAATCATACCAGGTAATATAAAAGATTATAGAGTAAAATTCTCAAAGATGTTTCCTAGAGGTATGCTTCATACATCGTACCTGCTCTCCTTATGAAATTAGACCTATTTATCTCAAAATTGATTTTGAAAAAGGTGCTGGAAACTGAATTAAAAATGTTTTGCTTAAGAGTTTTGGTACTAATCCATGTTTTCGTTTGTTGCTTGCAGATGTCCAACCAAACAGCAGAATAAAGATTATGCGCTGTATTTGCTGACTGCTGTTTATCTTGAAGCCTGGGTAAGTGGGAGATACCTGTTTCTGACAGTACTGAGACACTTGTTTTACAGTTTATAGTCACACCATTTTCTTCTTACAGTCAATACTCCAATATTCACATACCTGTAATGAACAGCTATTTCTGAATCGAGACATCAGACTTTTATTTTGTCAAGTAATGAGACATCAGTCTTGTTTATTTGAAATCAATATATTTCGTTCATAGGTGGATGTTCATTATGTTACTAATAATATCCTCTGTGACTGAACTTAAGTAAATCAATCCTATGCAGATTTAGATAACATCTTCCTTTCCAACTACACATACTCCAACACTAGCACTAACTTGCAGCAAGTTTCATTCAAATCAGACGTAAAGAGAACAGGTAGCAAACTCCCTCTGATTCCATATCACATGGCACATTTTGTGATCACTTTGACAAAAAGTTTAGAGGAATATACATGTACTTCCAATTTCACATGTGCTTAAATACATTGCGTCATATTTCTAGCTCACCTGCACTTTTATTTCTCACAAATGAATCATTTGGTTTAACTAAAATAATGTCTTTGCTCTGATGTGTTTAGAATAAGATGTCTTGGGAGGATGATATGGAGGCAGATGACTACCTCCATTACAACTGGAATATTTCGAAGGCAAAAGACAGAACTGTTGTAACCTTGATGTCTATCGCTGAGGGGAACAAGGTGGGTAATTATTGTGTGAGGGAGATGAGTTTGAGGCAAGTGAAAGCAAGTTATTGTATACACTTCATAGGTTTATTATAGTTGATTCATGGTTGTACCTGAGGGACTCTGTCTTAGCATTGTTTCTGTGTTATTTTTGTCTCCAATGACAAATTAACTGAAGAGGATGTTGATGTTACTTGTGCATGAGCATTCACATCTTTGAATAAGTACTCGTACAATCAGGTCTGGCTTATAATTAGAACATTAGGTCAACAACTGAAAATAGAATAAAGTTCTATATATAGAACTTCTAATGAAGTTTTGGGTGAAACATGTAAGGTTTATATGGAGTATGAAAATTGCATAAACTTCATCAGTGATTTTCAAAACATTTTACATACTTTCTCTAAAGAATAATGTTTGATATATCAAATAGGTTTTGATTGGACTTGTATTCTTTTGATTCTGTTTTTTTGAGGGACTAAATCCTTGTTCTTCGATACTTTAGAGTTATCTCCCTTCTTTGACATTAACTATGAATAGGTATTCTAGCATTAGGTATATCATGAACTATTTATCTGAAAGGTTGTTTCAACAGATCATCAGTTTGTTTTGAATGTCTTTCAGTTGTAATAAATATTTTTCATGATATAAATCATTTCAATCAGTTTACATACCATGGTCATTTTTAGAAAAACGTGTTGTTATGACATGCAACAACAGTCATTTGAGTGAAGATGTATATTGTAAATGATATTTGAATTTATTCCTAGTAATTGTTGTGTAATCAGATATTAAAGAAATGACAAAATACTTTTTTTTCAGAACTCAGTGTATCATAATGAAGAAGAGGAGGCAATTCTGGAAAAAGAAGAAGTGAAAAATTATGTTGAGACTGTTTCAAAAATTTACAACAATGAAGAAAATGTAGAAAACCTAGAAAAGTTAAAACAATCTGTACTTAACATGTTGGAATTAAAACCTGACATCAAGTGACAGAAAAGTAAGAAAGCCAGAGTATTGATAGGAATGTGTGATGTGTGTGAGAAGAATTACTGATAATAACTATTACTTATTAAAACAAAAAATAAATGAAAAATACAGTGTTTTTCCTGTCTTTGTTCAGTTTATCAACTTATGTGCTCTTTAAAGTAATTGTTTCATGATGTCCACAGCCACGTGTAAATCAGAAGTAAATGTAAAATCAGGGATGACATTTAGTAAATATTATGACTCCCCCAAAAAACAGGACTGCCATAGACTAACAGGATAACTATGGTCACTCAACTGTCACAGCATCAATCACTACACTACAGTTTGCCATCTAAAATAATTACCTTATGTGACTAAGGTAAATTTAAGACCATCTGAGTTCATCTGTATACCTTTGATTGTTAGGCTTTAGAATTAGACTTACACACAAAGAGATGAACTAAGGCAGCTAAAGTACACTTAAGGAATGGGTTAACTAAGGTAACTAAAGCACATCCAGAGTATCACACTATTAATTATGCATGGAGGGAAGAGATGATTTGAGGCAGTCACAGTACACAGGAGAGGTGATCTGAGGTAGTCACAGAACATAGAAGGGAGAAGTGATCCGAGGTAGTCAAAAGAACACAGAAGGGAGAGGTTATCACAGAACACAGAAGGGAGAAGTGATCCGAGGTAGTCACAGAACACAGAAGGGAGAAGTGATCCAAGGTAGTCACAGAACACAGAAGGTAGAGGTGATATGAGGTAGTAACAGAACATAAAGAGGAGAGGTGACCTGGGGTAGTCAGAGTATATAGAGGAGAGATGTGACCTGAGGTAGTCATAGTACATGGAGGGGAGATGTGACCTGAGGTAGTCATAGTACATGGAGGGGATGTGACCTGGGGTAGTAGCACATAAAGAGGAGAGGTGACCTGGGGTAGTCAGAGTATATAGAGGAGAGATGTGACCTGAGGTAGTCATAGTACATGGAGGGGATGTGACCTGGGGTAGTAGCACATAAAGAGGAGAGGTGACCTGGGGTAGTCAGAGTATATTGAGGAGAGATGTGACCTGAGGTGGTCATAGTACATGGAGGGGGATGTGACCTGGGGTAGTAGCACATAAAGAGGAGAGGTGACCTGGGGTAGTCAGAGTATATAGAGGAGATATGTGACCTGAGGTAGTCATAGTACATGGAGGGGGATGTGACCTGGGGTAGTAGCACAAAAAGAGGAGAGGTGACCTGGGGTAGTCAGAGTATATAGAGGAGAGATGTGACCTGAGGTAGTCATAGCACATGGAGGGATGAGGTGACCGGAGGTAGCAAGAGTACATGGAGGGATGAGGTGACCGGAGGTAGCAAGAGTACATGGAGGGATGAGGTGACCGGAGGAAGTAAGAGTACATGGAGGGATGAGGTGACTGGAGGTAGTAAGAGTACATGGAGGGATGAGGTGACCGGAGGTAGTAAGAGTACATGGAGGGATGAGGTGACCGGAGGTAGTAAGAGTACATGGAGGGATGAGGTGACACGGGGTAGTAAGAATACTTGGAGAGATGAGGTGACCGGAGGTAGTAAGATTACATGGAGGGATGAGGTGACATGGGGTAGTAACACATAAAGAGGAGGGGTGACCTAGGGTAGTCAGAGCATATAGAGGAGAGATGTGACCTGAGATAGTCATAGTACATGGAGGGGAGATGTGACCTGAGGTAGTCATAGTACATGGAGGGGGATGTGACCTGGGGTAGTAGCACATAAAGAGGAGAGGTGACCTGGGGTAGTCAGAGTATATAGAGGAGAGATGTGACCTGAGATAGTAATAGAAAATAGAGGGGGAGGGTGACCTGGGGTAGTCCACGTAAAGAGGAGAGGTGACCTGGGGTAGTTAGAGTATATAGAGGAGAGATGTGACCTGAGATAGTAATAGAAAATAGAGGGGGAGTTGACCTTAGAGGTCAGACGTTGCCTTAGTTTTGAGGTTGCCACTTGTTATAGTGGAATGAACATAAAACATAAATTCCTGCACAACATCACCATCCTTGGACCTCCCATTGTTAGGACAGACTTGAATATGTTAAACAGAATAGGTCAATAGTCCTTAGAAATATTGATTAATTTAAAGGTAAATCGAAGTGTTATGTGAACCCCTTGATCAAATTAATACTGTGTGCTCGGATTTTCATGTACACCATATTGGTGGCAGCGGTAGGATACATCAAAGTTTAAAAAAAACGTGAATTCGACACCTGAAGAAGAGCAGACGGTAAAGGAATAAGGCGATTTATACCTGTAATAAAAGGACTTTGAATACAAATGAATTAGTGTGTGCGACTGTAGTAACACAAGATGACTGATGGCACAGTGCCTTTTTGAAAACCTTGACTCAAAGAAGTTGTTCTGGAATATAGTGCGATGTTCCTCCGATTCAATATGTGAAGAACGGTGATTTATCTCGGGACGGAGAGTCATATTATACCTTAAATGTAACATGACTATTGATTAATGTCGCGCCAGAAATTGTCCACAACGCTCAACAAATTAATATAAACCTTTGCCGAGCACAGAAAGGATTATCTCCGACGTCAGTTGAAGATGCCCACTAAAGAAATCCGTTACACTTCTATAGACCATACACATAAACCCTGTTGGCATATGGTTTCCATTGAAATGGCATATATGATGCCATGTGCACTGATCATTTAAGTTAATGAGAAAATAAATTCTGATATTTATGTGGAACATGGCCTTCATTTTAGTATATTATAGAAACACTTACATGAATGTAGTGGGCAACGTGATTCGTTTTACAAAATATAAAATGTTTTATATCGGCTGGTCATCATTCCTCCTCCCACTCAAAACTCCTCCAAATTGTCAGATAATCCTATTGTTCTCATTGCTTGTTGTTTATTTGTTGTTGGTTGTTTCTTTATTTTTGTGTCATCATGACATACACGCACCTGTGTGTCGTTCTATATTATAGGAGTACAAAATAACAGCGAGCAAAAGATATCATTCAACTATTGATAGGCGAATATTCTCTTGACTGCAAAAATATTGATGCATATTTCTTACTCGGAGTCAGATTTAAGTCCATTAACAAATGCAGCAAGTTTCATTTTGAACCAACAGTATCCCGTATGTTAATTGCATTATTAAGGTTATTTATCTTTCAGTTTGAAACTGTTCAAGATGTGGTCATTCAGTATCAATCTTGAACTATCCATATATATCATTCCTTACTGAAACGACTGAGTGAATCTGCTGAAACTTTAAGAGCCGTGAAATGGAGAATGAGCTCTTAACGTTCAAATCTGATAAAAATATAAAGATCCGATATCAATACGTATGAAGCAAATTGAAGTTCTGTGTTACATGCCACACGTTGGGACTGGTATGACATTATGGATGACCACTAGTAACCCCTTTTAATTTTGATAGTATAAAACACTGTTATCGACATTTTCAAACGCTATTTAGAATTGAATTGGTCTTCAAACTTAACTGTGGGACCCTTAGTGTTTTGTTTCAATAGTTTTTTAGTAAGTTTAATAGCATGCTATTTAAAATGGGCGACTATTGACTATTTTGGATTTTGTCATAAGCAGTTTGTTACCAATGAAAGGGCACTTTCAACTTGAAACAACATCTATAGGAATTTTACATTACAAGTCCCACTGTTGCAACAGATACCAAGAAAAAAAATAAAAGAAAACATAAAATTATTTTTTTCGTGTCAGGGGAAATAACTCGATGTCATATTTTTTCCTCCGAAATCTTCTGTGTTGAAGATAACAAACGTTACATCAGCTGCGGCACGTTTGGAAGTGCACCGTCAGGTAAATAATATGTAATAATATACATTTTGGTCGACTTGCATATCGACAAAAAAATGTGGAAATGAACTTAATATCGTGAAGACCTATTCATATTTGTTATTATCTGATCAAAAGTCATTTAATTATATCAGCATATTTAATATCAATGACATGTACAGTAAACACCGAACCAGAAGAAAGGATTTTGATGTTTCTTACCCGCCATTTTCGGTGTTGATTCAATTCGATTTAGTATGGTAAAAATGCGAAGAAAGTTCACTGAAAGTAATTCAGTGTCACCCTAGTATCGTATAGAAGTCACCATTTGAATATGAAAATTTTGATATAAAGTCATAATGCAATGCATTTTACCAAGATCGCAAAGCATCTTCCCTTCCGAATGACAGAGACGAGATGAGGCTATTTCTGAAAAACGTCCGCTCATCATGAGCACAAAATTACAAAGCGACATAGAGCTTCAATTGTATGTTGTTATATATTGTTTCCATGAGATTTCAACGCACAATTGTGTGATGAAGATGTCAATTGCAAATTTAATTCTACAAGAATGGTGGATTTTAGGGAAGAGAAAATTAAATATTACTACTTGTACAATGGGGAATACATTTGCATTCTACAAGTATTAAACATGCCTGTCACCTGATGATATAATCAATTAGTTACATTTGAGAGCTTGTCAGATTTTAACTGATAATTAATTTGATGATTTTTGGGATGCCAATATTTGAGTCCCAGATTTTCTCTTTTGGACCTATTCAAATTTTGAGGACCAACAATCTATCATATTTATATACTTTTCATCAGAATAATGATAGACTTTTAACTTAATTAACATCTCTGGTCGATATTTGTTAATTTGATACCAAGTTGAATGCAGGTCCTTTGTATGCTTACAGAGGTTAACATTGATAAATATACATGAGATGATATAAGAAGCTTTATTTATTTAACAACAATTGCGAAGCAAGTTTTCCCAACTTATATAAATCACTCTTGTTGGCTCGGATGGAAGTGCCCGAGGGGTCTTATTGTGGGAGGAAACTGGAGTACCCAGGGAAAACCCATGTGGTCGGGCAAAGATACGGATAACAATAGTAAATAAATAAAAAGCATGTTTCCTAGCTTTAACAGTGATTTTTGGGACTCAAATGTTTGAGTCCTGGAATCATGCTTTTCCAGTAGGACTCATGCAAATTTTGAGAACCCACTCTTATGTTTTTGTAACTTGACTCATCAAAATTTATGAATTGGTTTTCTTGACTCGTCAAAAAAAAACAAAAAAATATCCTTCAAAATTACTGTTTTAGATTTCAAAAAATTGAAATGGAAATAGTTCACTTCAGTATGTTTTATGATAGGCATGCAAAAATGGTTCCCCAATTATTATGTGAAAATGGAGAAAATATATTTCCTTATCAACTGAGAGTGCTGAAGGTTCTGGATTGATTAAACTGGAAATGTTTTGAACAGAAAATTTTATAAAAAAAAAATTTTTGCAAGTGTTTGGTAATAAGACTGAATCTGCTGTGACATAAATTCAATACTGTTGAATTCATTTATGTTTAAACTTTTTGGCAGTTTGTACCTCCTTCTCATTATTCCACATAGACAAGATACATATAAGTTTCATATAAAGATATATGTTTTAAACAATGTCACATACTCTCAAAACACCTATTTCTATGACAAAGAACTATAACATAATTTACAGAGTTGCATTATAATGTCTCTGTTCAAAAGTACTGTAATTGTGATGTCCAATTGTAGTGATTACTTACTTTTTGACTTGTGTGAAGCACACATTAGAAAATAATGATTTTTTTTCCAAAATAACCATTTGAATGTCAACTACAAGTTGCTTATTGTCCACACTTTTTATCATAGGGACAGATTTCTGACATTCATCAGAATAATTCAGACAACATGTGTATAAAAATACTACACAGAAGTGAATTCATGGCTATGGTTCATGAAAATTTCAGGAATCTGCTTGGTGTCAATCCATCAATATCATGGACATCACAGGAAATGAAATAACAGTAACATACATATCATCAGTCTGTTATTAATTGGTAAGCTATGACCTGATTCACTCAGTATTCGGTACACAGTTCAGGCATCTTAATGAATTAATTGGTTGGAAATGTTACCAAGTTGGATTTCAGAGATAAAGTATGAATGAAAATGCCTTTTCATTTGATGTAGTAACCATTGTGTTGACATTAGTTAGCTAATGAATAGTACACAAATAATCCTTTATTCTATTGGCGTGTTTTAAAAATGTAAAATCTTAAAATCATCCTGCATACGATTGCAAAGAACAGTTCTAGACAATCTGTTTCAGTTAAAAACACATGATGGACAGGTACTCGTATAAAACTGGTGTTTTAAATCACTATTGTTGTTCTTGTGGAAGCTTGATGTGTTACAGCTACCAAAATTATCAGAGTGGGAGGTCACGCAGGTCTATAGTGCAAGTGAATTGCCATCTCGAAATGTTTAACGGTCAGGAACCGATATCTAGATGATAATCTTCATTTTTTCATCATTCTGATGATCTTTTTTCATCCTTATATAAGCTTCATCTGTATATAAGCTGCATGCCTGAAAGCAAATGGGGAAAAAAAGGGCTTATAAACTGGAAAATATGGTTATACAAAACTTTTGATGTTGAAGATATTCATGAATATAATGAACATGCTCTGAATAAACCTGTATATGAATGCAAGTTATAGCACTGATTTAATTTACTGTTTTCAATTCAGATTGCAGCCATGAGCAAGTCTGGTAAAGGTGGCCTAAATTCCCTTCTGAGCTACAGATTTGTTAAAAAGCCTAAACCAAAATTGCAACATGAAGGTTCAACAAGTAGCCAGGACAGTGACGAGACCAAGTGTCCTTCAGATGACAACACAAATCAGTCATCGGATCCAAATTTGACGAATTCTATTCCAAACGGAAAATCAGAAGATCTGAAGAAAAAAAATTCAAATTCTGTCAGTTCAAATGAATTAAAAGATACAGAAAGTTTGGATGGTACACAAAAATATTGGGATGAGGCAGATGGGCCAGACACTGTTATATCTGTGTCTGTTATTGACAGTCGACAGGAGGATATAGGTAAATGTGTAAATAGAAGCAGTCCAACTTCAAATATTGACCATATTGTATCCATTAGGATTATAACTGGATGTAATACTAATGCTGATGGGTTTAGTCGCAAGTATAAGACATTCAGGATCCTAGAACAGCTAGTGAAAATAATATGCTCTCTCAAGTTAAATGAACCACAATACATTGTATTTGATCATCACATTACCAAAATCAAACTGAAGCATCAAAATGTTTGAATATGGTGAATTACTTATGTAAAGAAATGTCATATTAATGCAGTTTTAATTACTCGTGAATATTTTCATCTTGTAATTAAGCAATGGTTATTCAATTTTTCCTAATGGACAACTTACCAATCAATCAGTGTTGTTTTGCATGTTACTGGCTTGTTCTGCATATCACTATAATAGTTTCTATTAATTATAAGATTTAATGTGATAAAAGAACATCTTTAAGGATTGAATATTTCAATGTTTAATTTTAGAACCCACTACAGTCCCAGAGACTCCTGCTTCCCCTCTGTCGCAGGCTAGTTCCCCAGAGTCACCTTTGTTTAGAGCGAAGCCCAAGAATATACGCAGTAGAGCACTTGAGGAAGAGCCATCAGAGGCTAGTGGCTCATCACCTTGGATGTCTAAAGAACAGGGCAGACTCACCAATGGTTGTGGATTGAAGGCTAAGTAAGAACAAAAGTCTGACAATAATTTTAACTTCATTTTTAGTTGATTTCTAATGTCTTCAATAAAAAGTAAAGAAAAATAAATTAGAGGAAATGAAATGTTGAATTTTTATTTATTTTTTTTTTCTTTCCTATTTTTCTTTTCATTTCCAGGAATGAACTGTTTTCACACACACACACACCACTCCCCCTTCCCCCTCCACTCTGCCCCATTGATTCACACATTCATGCATCCTATACTAGAGAGTCTTTTGGCTCGCAAGAAAATCCTAAAACATTTTGTTTGTTTTTTAGAGGTCGAGTACTGTCTGACTCAAGTGATGAAGAAACAGAGGAGGAAGACAAAGGTATGTCTGCTGAGGACGAAGTAACATTAAACAATCTGAAAGAGGTCTTTCCCAGTCAGCCACTTCATGTTGTACGACAGGCTTTCCTTGATGCAGAGAAGATCTATGAGTTAGCTGTGGAACGTCTTGTTGATACAGGTGAGATTCTGTTTTCAGAAATCACACTGAACATCATCTCAGTTTTACAGAAAAAACTTATTTGCCAAGAAGATAATCACATGTAGTGTCCTATGAATTGTAAACAGTTTCTTCTGTCAATTAAAGGACATACTAGTCACTTACCAAACGCTTTTTGGAAGACTTTTTTTATGTCTGAGCTTTAATCTCTTCTTTCATTGAAATATTTTGTGAAGGTAATTACCTTGGTATGTGTTTGTAGGTTTATGGTGTTTTGAAATACAAACAGTAAAACTCCCAAGGAAGGATATAGAATAGGACAGGAAAACTTATTAGTCTACCAAACAGATGAAATCTGTAATTGCCCTATTTACATTTTTTCCTTAACTGTGGATATAAGACAATTTAAATAAGTAGGATATCAATGTCTGTTGTCATAAGAAGTTGTTTTAATACCGTTTTATTTTTTTGTTATTTTCATTTAAGATCTTTTTATTAATAGGGAAACATAATTTCAAGAAGAAGAAACGAGTGATGCGAATGAACAGTAGCGACTCTGAGATTTCACAAGAACCACCATCGAAACGAGCACGTTCTGTTATATCAAGTGATGACCAGGAGGAGGATGTGGACAGCCAAGCTACCATCATGAATAACTCTCAGAGTCAAGATGGAGTCATTGGGTACACCACTCAAGAGGAGAGAATTAAGTTCCTATCAGAATCATTCCCAACAAGGTCACGCAGAGTGAGTAAAAACTCATGTTAACAAAATTTTGCCGAAAAAAGGAAGTAGTTTAAGAAGGAAAAGTAGTGAGTATGTTTTTTGTACAGATAATTTGATAACATGAGTAGGATGGCTACTGTTACCCAAACATCCAAATGTTACCTTGAATGCTATGGCACTATAAAAAATATCACAAATTTTATGTCTATTTCCCATAGTTCAATATTGTGAGTTTATTTCAAATAGGTGCATACTACAGTAAAACTGCCCTGCAGGAAGTGCATAAGAATTGTGCCTGTTGACCTTACTTCATGATAATAAGTGCTGACTAAACTTGGTTTAATTATTTTCCTCTCTTTTCTAAAGACCTTTCTTCTTTTTAATATCACTGTCTCACTTTTTGGCCTTTACTTAAGCATTCACCCTTGTGAGGAATACTTTTCTGTCCTGAGACTGAGACATACCAGCGTCTTTAAAAATGGTAGTTACTACCCAGGTACTTCCTGCTTAAAAGTATAGCATTGTAGTAGTGTAGTGGGGTGGGGTGTCCTGCTGGGCAGTATACTTCAGTAAATTAGCATTATAAAGTCAGCTTCAGTTGCAAACTGTCACAAGAAGCCTTACATGAACAATTCACAGCCTCCCAAAAACACATGGACACAGTACATACACTCATCTTGTATACAAAGGGAAGCCATTCTTAAATAATCCCGGCTGTTGATAGAAAATTAATCAATATAAACAAAACCAACTACTGAAAAACACAACATTTTGGATAACCAACTGATTGTATATATATATCTGAATTTATTACAGTCGATATACAGAGCCTTGGAAACTAAAAATTGGTTAGTGGATGAAGCTGCTGAAATGTTGGATCTTAAGAAAAAAGAAAATGGCAGAGATGATGATATGGGTAATACTTCTCTGTGATGATATAGATAATACTTCTCTGTGATGATATAGGTAATACTTCTCTGTAGTGATATAGGTAATACTTCTCTGTGGTGATATAGGTAATACTTCTCTGTGGTGATATAGGTAATACTTCTCTGTGGTGATATAGGTAATACTTCTCTGTAGTGATATAGGTAATACTTCTCTGTGGTGATATAGGTAATACTTCTCTTACTTCTCTGTAGTGATATAGGTAATACTTCTCTGTGGTGATATAGGTAATACTTCTCTGTGGTGATATAGGTAATACTTCTCTGATATAGGTAATACTTCTCTGTAGTGATATAGGTAATACTTCTCTGTGGTGATATAGGTAATACTTCTCTGTAGTGATATATAATAGTGATATAGGTAATACTTCTCTGTAGTGATATAGGTAATACTTCTCTGTAGTGATATAGGTAATACTTCTCTGTAGTGATATAGGTAATACTTCTCTGTGGTGATATAGGTAATACTTCTCTGTAGTGATATAGGTAATACTTCTCTGTAGTGATATAGGTAATACTTCTCGATAGTGATATAGGTAATACTTCTCTGTAGTGATATAGGTAATACTTCTCGATAGTGATATAGGTAATACTTCTCTGTGGTGATATAGGTAATACTTCTCTGTAGTGATATAGGTAATACTTCTCTGTGATGATATAGATAATACTTCTCTGTAGTGATATAGGTAATACTTCTCTGTGGTGATATAGTTAATACTTCTCTGTAGTGATATAGGTAATACTTCTCTGTAGTGATATAGGTAATACTTCTCTGTGATGATATAGGTAATACTTCTCTGTAGTGATATAGGTAATACTTCTTTGTGATGATATAGGGTAATACTTCTCTATAGTGATATAGGTAATACTTCTCTGTGGTGATATAGGTAATACTTCTCTATGGTGATATAGGTAATACTTCTCTATGGTGATATAGGGTGATATAGGTAATACTTCTCTATGGTGATATAGGTAATACTTCTCTGTGGTGATATAGGTAATACTTCTCTGTAGTGATATAGGTAATACTTCTCTGTGGTGATATAGGTAATACTTCTCTGTGGTGATATAGGTAATACTTCTCTGTGATGATATAGGTAATACTTCTCTATGGTGATATAGGTAATACTTCTCTGTGATGATATAGTTAATACTTCTCTGTAGTGATATAGGTAATACTTCTCTGTAGTGATATAGGTAATACTTCTCTGTGATGATATAGGTAATACTTCTCTGTGATGATATAGGTAATACTTCTCTATGGTGATATAGGTAATACTTCTCTGTAGTGATATAGGTAATACTTCTCTGTAGTGATATAGGTAATACTTCTCTGTAGTGATATAGGTAATACTTCTCTGTAGTGATATAGGTAATACTTCTCTATGGTGATATAGGTAATACTTCTGTGATGATATAGGTAATACTTCTCTGTGATATAGGTAATACTTCTCTGTGGTGATATAGGTAATACTTCTCTGTGGTGATATAGGTAATACTTCTCTGTGGTGATATAGGTAATACTTCTCTATGGTGATATAGGTAATACTTCTCTGTGGTGATATAGGTAATACTTCTCTGTAGTGATATAGGTAATACTTCTCTGTAGTGATATAGGTAATACTTCTCTGTGATGATATAGGTAATACTTCTCTATGGTGATATAGGTAATACTTCTCTATAGTGATATAGGTAATACTTCTCTGTGGTGATATAGGTAATACTTCTCTGTGGTGATATAGGTAATACTTCTCTGTGATGATATAGGTAATACTTCTCTGTAGTGATATAGGTAATACTTCTCTGTGATGATATAGGTAATACTTCTCTGTAGTGATATAGGTAATACTTCTCTGTGATGATATAGGTAATACTTCTCTGTGGTGATATAGGTAATACTTCTCTGTAGTGATATAGGTAATACTTCTCTGTGGTGATATAGGTAATACTTCTCTGTGGTGATATAGGTAATACTTCTCTGTGGTGATATAGGTAATACTTCTCTGTGGTGATATAGGTAATACTTCTCTGTGATGATATAGGTAATACTTCTCTGTAGTGATATAGGTAATACTTCTCTGTGGTGATATAGGTAATACTTCTCTATAGTGATATAGGTAATACTTCTCTGTGATGATATAGGTAATACTTCTCTGTGATGATATAGGTAATACTTCTCTGTGATGATATAGGTAATACTTCTCTATAGTGATATAGGTAATACTTCTCTGTGATGATATAGGTAATACTTCTCTGTGATGATATAGATAATACTTCTCTGTGATATAGGTAATACTTCTCAGTGATGATATGGTTAATCTATCTCAGAAGACTTATCTAGGTAACGATTTGCTGTGTTGATCTCCTACATTGTCATATATTTAGCAATGTTTGTAGTCAGACTATGTGCATTATTTCAGACTTATCTGATGAGGATGAGGATTTCCAAAGTGGAGATGAGGCTGAAGACAGTGAGAACAGTTTAGATGTAAGTTAAAGATGCAAACAGCTTTCTGAAGCATTGTATATTTCACAGATTTCTAATGAGCTTTGCTTAAGTATACACCATTGTCTTATAATATCCACTTTGTTATACAGGAAACAACGTTTTGAGAATTCAGCTACAATTGATTCAGAAGTGATAATTCTGGAGTGATTCGTTAAAATACAAGGACTTTACCAGTGTTTAATGAGTGTGTACCATTGCTATATTGTAGGAATGTGCTGAAAATGTAGTAACAATTGATTGTCATATTTTTAGGATGGTGCTGATGAACATCAAACAGAAAAGGAGATGATCCTGGCGTTTTTCCAGGATGCCAATCAAGATGAACTAGCTGGGACTCCAGGTTGTTCTAAGAAGAAGGCTGAGATTCTACTTAAAGAAAGACCATTTAAATCATTTGAAGACTTGGTATGAATTTGATTCCTACATGGAAATGACAAGTACTTTTTAAGAGGAAGACCACTGTTTGCACTAGGCACTGCAATTGTTTTACACACATTGGTGGGAAATAGTCTTTGTATACTCTGGTAGATAAACATTTTTGTTATATGTCCTGTTTTCTTCTTGTCTTGGCTGTTTGTGAGCCATTTTACTTTATTGATTAGTAATATGATGCAAAGGGTTTGTCTTTGTCACAGAGAAACAAAAGGGTTTTTCTTAAGATATTTACTTTATTTTCAGCACAACAAGTGTGCCACTGTGAAAGGATTAACAACAGATTTGATAGGTGGTTGCCGGGAAATCATTCGTGTGCGCGATGTCATCATCCGTTTAATGCAAAAGTGTGAGAAGATTTCGATGGAGATGGAGAGAGTGGTGACATACCTTACACAACAAGACAGCATTGATGAGTCTGACAACAGGATCCATATCACCAAACAGCCTGCTCTACTGAACAGCGAGTACGTAAACTGCAAATAAAACTAAGAGAGGCCAGATGTACGTCTTTCTGATAAAATCCGATATGTGGCAATTACATCATCACTGTACTGATTGATGAAACTTGATTGCTCCAACCTACATAACTGTATAATGTAGATATACAACCATAGAGAGATATCTTAGGATTGAAGTTTTGTATACTCTAGCCTGGAACCTTGATCCTTTTTTGACTCTTTTTTTACCTTGGTTTTTATGTTTCTTAAACTGAACCAATTGAGGATTATTAACACTTTCCTCTTTATCTGTAAGTTTTGGTTTGGCTTAAGTTTTATTACAAATGTATGAATTTATCAATCTGATAAAAACTTACATTGTCACTGCAGTGATGATAAGAAAATCTGATGTTATCACATGATGATGTAATTCTTCCAGTATTGATATAATTTTCATAGTTTTACAAACCAGAGCATGGTTTCTAGTCACTGCATTGAAACTCACCAATTTTTTCTGTCCGAAGGCAAATGAAGTGTATGTTGAATAAGTTGGTTTTCCATTCAACAATATTCATAATGTATATATTTAGATACTTTTTTTTTGATAAGGAAAAATAGTGTTGTAAGCAATTCTTACCAGGTTACAGCATAAAATGGTAGCATCAAGGTAAAGCAGGCTCTTAAAATGGCATCGCCTTGTTGTCAAGCATAAGCTTAAACTCTGATGTCAGAGGATGTGATAATGTTTCCCGAAGTTTCTTAACGGTTTGCTTTATGTAGTGGTTAGCATTTTTCCAATTGTTTTTCCATTAAAGAGTGAAATATTTCTGATATTAAATGAAAAACCATTAATTATCCTCCTTTGCAACTTTAAGCTTAGTGTCTGTAGTCATGATGCATTTCATATGTTGATACACTAAATCTGTAAAACATTTTGATTAAGTTGTATTTTTCATTTGACTGCCTTGAATTAGATTTTGTGTGAAGATCAATTTCTATGGTTAGACATTAAAAGCTCTATTACTTTGACTTTAAACAATCTGAAATATACGATTTACAAATATTTCAAGTTCACACTTTTATTGATTTGTAAATCAAATCTGATCGAATTTGAAAGTAAAGGTGATTCTGTCATTCCAGATTCCAACTGAAACCTTTCCAGATGGTTGGACTGAATTGGCTGAGAATCATGCACTCTAAAGAGATAAATGGCATTCTGGCTGATGAGATGGTATGAAGATAATATAAATAATTTTACAGAAGTTTTATATATAATACACTGTATTTCCAACATTACATGTTTTTCTTTTAAAATAAGATTGCCATTCCGAAATATGTATTAATTACAAGACACAATTTTATTTTAAACATTTAAATATTTTTTTAAGAAGCAGTTTATGAAGGGAATGTGCAGTATGGCCGGTCTTAATCTAAGGAAAAACTTCAAAAAATATTAAACTCAGAATAATATTCCACTTTTTATGTTCTTATTATGTATGAAAAACAACCTTTGATATTTGGTTTACATCCTGTTTAATTGACCATAAGTTTTGATGTATTCTAATACTGCTGACTAATCTGTTAGTATTGTCTTCGTTAGAACTAAACCAGCAAAGTTACAACTTGAAACTTTCAGTTGAAATACATATACACATCAGTTTCTAATTCTTTAAGATGTCCATCCTGTCTCATCACATGCAGAATTAATGACAAATTTTAGAACCTTTCAACATTTTTTTTATATACATACCCAATAATATCATAAGATCCAGTTTTACAACTTTCTTACACCTTTTACATCTAATCATCTTTAAGTCGTTATCAGTAAAAGTGAAGGAACAAAGGTCAAATTATGTATGGAAGCAGGGTCATTCGTATGTTTCAGATATTTTCTGGTTAGAACTTGATATAACTTTGAACATTAATATAGAAGTTCATAAAGCATCATATTTAAGTGACTGATCAGTGTAAAATTTTCATTACACAGGGCCTTGGCAAGACAATACAGACAATATCATTCATTGCCCACCTTCTGGAGGAAGGAGAAGAAGGACCCCATGTTATCATCGTCCCCTCCTCTACCATTGGTAAGTCATAGTTGTCTCTGTCATCCTCATCTTATGTAGGAAACAACATTCCCTAGTTGGTCTGCCTTAACCATTAGGTAACCACATTCACTAGTTGGTCTGCCTTAACCATTAGGTAACCACATTCCCTAGTTGGTCTGCATTAACCATCTCCTGTATATATATAAAACATACCATTAGTCATTATCAGCAGCAATCATTTCTCCTGCCAAGGGTACTCATTGTAGCTCCTCTACTTTAAGAATTGTTTCTCTATTATAGATATGTATATTAAAGAGTATAGAACTAATTATTATCATCCATAATCATTTATACTCCAAAATCATTCTTCCTGTTCTGTTCATAGGTACTGTCTTACTGATAAACCATTTTCTGGCAATAAACTGATTTCGGAAAAATTGACAGCAAACAGTTTTATATCCTGCAATAAGTTTATCCCCGTCAATAAGTAAGTTTTGTTTTGACCTCTATAAATTGACTTTTTGCAAGATAAATGCTGTTAAATTCATCTCCTATAAGTAATCATTATCACTTCTTTGTGAATGAAATATCATTGTTTATGACATTATGATATTCTGTGATAGATAACTGGCTACGGGAGTTCTCTGTGTGGTGTCCAGCTGTCAAAGTGTTGGTATACTATGGCTCTCAGGAGGACCGGCGAGTCACACGAAGGAGCATTCTGTACGAGGACTTTGAGGATTTTCACGTCATTCTTACCACGTAAGTTCTGTTTAAATTGGTTTTGACCCCTTATTTCATAATTAGAGGGAGCACAATTATGCGTCACCAAATATCTGACTTGCTATGTATATATTAATTTTTTGAATGATTGATTTCCTTCTGCATAATTTTCATCTGCACAAAGTGAGGATTATCAGTAATTGCAACATTTGTAGATAATTTTTCATTATCTGTGCCAAGTATTTTAAAACCAACTAAATTTGATTTTCATTCAATAGATAATGGCTGTTCAATGCATTATTTCCCATGTTTACATGCAGATGTTTTCACCTATATTTTGTAGCTACAATATGGCGACAGGCAGTGTAGAAGACCGGTCGTTGTTTAAGAAGTTTGAATTTCACTATTCCATTTTTGATGAAGGCCACATGCTTAAAAACATGTCATCACTACGATACCAAAACCTGATGAAGATACAGGTCAGAAACTGAAATAAGGAATACATTTTAGCTGTAATACTTTTCTGATCATGTCCATCTATCATCGTAGCACCCATGAGCCAGATTGTAATATTTTACCAGTTTTAATCAAATGAAGGTATTGATTAATTGATTGTCTGTATTTACTTGAGTGTCAGTTGTACATGATTTAATTTCATATTGCTCAAGGGTTTACTTTAACTTAGCTGCCATCCACTTGTAAAGAGAAGAAATGTTCCCAAGCTAAGGGTAATTTTGAGTGTACATGTATTCTTTTGAATAGATTGTATAAAGGTTTGGAAAGTTATTTTACACCTTATTAAGAATTGTTTTAAGAGTCATTTTACACCTTATTAAGAATTGTTTTAAGAGTCATTTTACACCTTATTAAGAATTGTTTTAAGATAAATTCTAGGATATAGCTTCTATAAAAGCAAAAACCAAATTCTGCTGTGGACAATTTAAACAGATAAAATACTTATCAGTCAAAATAATATACACACTACCTTGTTACATCAACATATATTTCTAAATGATTTTCTAGTCTGAGCGTCGCCTGTTGTTGACTGGGACACCCTTACAGAATAACTTACTGGAACTGATGTCACTGCTGTGCTTTGTTATGCCTGACATGTTCATTGGCAAGACTGATCATCTCAAGCGAATGTTCTCCATGATCACGGTAAAGAGTGATGAAATACTGACAGCATTAATCACAGACAGGATAAAAAATAGATATTTTGTCATGATAATGTAATCATGGTAGCTGACTAGCTGCTTATTACCAAATCAGCTAGGAGAATTTCTCTTGAGCTGAAGCTGTAGTGTCAGTTAAGTAAGCAAGAGTTCTTCAGTTTAATGTTTACCAAAGGTATTAAGAAAGAATTACCTTTGTCTTAATGAAAATACAGCAAATATGATTCTTTTTCTTTAGTAATGATTGAATTTTGTCCCAATTTGATCAGAAGCATCCATCGGTAAATGCAACTTAATTTTGTACAAACGGAGCATCTGATCCCAATGGGGGAGAGAAGCAGGGCCTAATAGAGGGAATAGATACAAATCTATAAATGTTTTTCATTTATTTACATTTTTACAATATCAGCAAACTAAACCATGTGAGTGATAAAAGCCATGTAGGCCTCTTGTTCTTTCTGTTAATGATATATATCTTTTAAAGGAGCTTTGTTTAATTTTTCAGAAGTCTGTTGATGATAAAAGGAGCAAATATGAAGCTGAGAGAATAGCCCATGCAAAGCAGATAATGAAGCCGTTTATACTTCGACGACTCAAATCTGAGGTACATTCAATTAAATCGAAATTTTACTGAAGCATGCTAAATTTGTGTTTGTTCCTATAACCATTTGATTTGTATTAATTTTACTTTGCCATTTCCAAGTTATAGGTGGATGATTGAAAATAATTGAAAATTAATTAGAAATGTAATGAAACCAATTGACTAATGCCCAAATGGAAAAGAAGTTTGATTTGAAACATTTTGGCTTTGATGGCAATTCAGTTTTAGAAGTCTTTACCTTTTATTTAAAGATTTTAATTTTAGGATTATGAGAAAAAATGTTGATATACAGTGTTGATAAAAGCAAAAATAGCATTCGGTATTAAGATGTTCAACAGCACTCAGTGGCTCATTTCTTTACATTATAATCCATTGAATAGTGAGACTTATCCACCAAAAATTCTGATATACTTTTATCAGGTCCAAAAATATTCATGAAAATATTTTTTCATTTGCTTCATTAAAATCACTAAATGGTATGAAACTTGTCTCTTTTGCAGGTACAGAAACAGTTACCTAAGAAGTCTGAACGTGTAGAGCTCTGTGAAATGATTCCAGAACAAGCAGAAAATTACCACAACCTTGTGAACAAGTTTCAACAAGAGCTGCGGGAGTCATCAGTTGGACCTGGGGAAACCAAAGGAGGGGCATCCATGTTGATGCAGTTACGAAAGGCAGCTAACCATCCACTGTTACAACGGAGACATTATACAGACAAACTCCTTAAAGAAATGTCCAAACACATAGCAAAGGTAACATTTACCACTCTTCACATATGGTTCATGTGAAAGATTTCCTTCATCCTCGATGCTCGAGGGAACAGATCACTTTTGCTCTCAGCACCACTGGGACATGTCATGGCAAAACTGAAAGCACAAGCAAAGTAATTCCCAGGTTATATGTCACACTGATATATAGGCCACACAGCCAGTTTTTTTTAATCAAATTTTTCAATTTGATCCACATATTAGTCACACCAGAATATAAGCTGCACCCTTTCTTAAGATATAGTAACCATTATGTTGACTAAAGTTTTTTGATATAACAGAGAATTGAAGGTCTGGTCCGATACTGATAGCAATGTCATTCCATTATTTATCTACAAGTCATATTCAAATCAACAGTCAAAATTATTCTTTAAATTGTTCATATAGAAAAATATATATGTATCTTGACTTGCATGGAGGCAGGTCATATTGTTTTAAGAAAAGACACAAACAAGGTATATGTATGAAGATTTTACTTCATTCTTAAATGAACAAATAGATGTATTAGAGTTATTTTCTGATGTTGTTCAATCTAGTTTGGCCTATAGTTTCTTTGTAATTAATTTTTTCAATTTTATTCTTTAAGTGTCAACATTAATTATATGAATTTCATTTTGAATAATTCAATCTAGAAATGATGCAAAAAAAAAATGGTCAAAATTAAGATAGGCATCTTATGCAAACGATGATAAAAAGATTTATTTATGAATATTGTCTAACCCAGCTAATAACTATATAACCAAAATATAACAATGATTACTTAGCTATCAAATTTGTTATGTTTTATAATGAATTGAACTAGGTATTTGAATTTGAATTCATCTAGACCAGAAGTTTCTGTTGAAGACTGGATGCTTGACTAAAGTTACAAAATCTCAGTTGTCAATGTCTTGCTAATTAACTTAAGAATATCCACTGTTTTGAATTATGTATATAATATGTTATGAAAAAATATAAATGGTAATTTCTATTATAATCTCTCAGTAAATATTAATTTCGTTTATGTAGATTTTGCTTTCATTTGTATATTTGTACCATGTACATTTGACTGTTTCCACTTTCAAAGAAATTTCTTCTTAGAAAACTTATTTCCATTATTGTATACTGAAAACATTCCATGACAACAGATATATATCTGCCTGCAGACGTAGGAGTTATACAATTTACAGAATAAACCAAAATTGACAATTGAAAGGGAGATTGACCATTGTGTTTGGATTGCCATGCTCTATTGATTCAAGGTCATATTGAACATTTAAAGTGTTTGGTAATTAAATCTAGTCATTAATACAGTTTAAGGTGGAGACTAAATGAGGAACTTAAATACACAGATAAAATTGCAATCTTCTTCAGAAATATTTTGTTCACATTACATTTTGAGTCAAGAATTTAAAATAAAAACCTGTGATTTTTAAAATGGGGCCACTAGGAGGGGATTTGTGCTGTTTAATGGCTTTAAAATGATGATAGAATCAGCCTTGGAATAGCATACTTCAAAGGTCAATTGATATGTTGAGGAGTTAATCAATCAGTGTCTGTTTTACAAAAAATTGTCTTTGTAGCATTTAATAGAAAGAAAATTTTAGTAAGTTTAAGTCCTATTTAAATAACTTAATAATTATGCATGCAATATACATTTTGTATTGATAATAAATACAATCTGATGACCATGCAATAGTGAAATGTAAATATCCAGAAATATGTTTGTTCTTTTTTAGGAACCATCTCACAGGGAAAGACAAGCCAATCCGAAGCTCATTTTTGAGGATATGTGTGTAATGCACGATTTTGAGATTCACAAACTATGTAAATTTTATGAAGTAAGTTAAGATTTAACTTTAAAACATAACTAATTGAATATTATTCTACTGTAAAATATGTAATTTATAAATTGTGAATTGACTGAGTTTGAAAACCTTATAATTAAAATGATTTATTACTAAGCTGATCAGGTTCATATAGTTTCATGAATTGATCTTCTACTCTTTTCCTATATTTGTAAGGGAAAAATGAATATTTTTCTTTCATGGGAAGAAAAAAAAACCCAGCTCACAAATGATGAAGGACACTAAATAGCCCTGACACATTACCGTTATTGTATTCATGGGATTTATATTAGGTGTTTGTATTCTGATATAGGTATTACCTGTATTATGTAAACTTACTGTGTAATCTACATTTGTTACAGAAACATATTGGTAAATACAGCATGCCACCATCAGCTATTCAGGATTCAGCCAAGTTTCGAGTTTTGGATGATTTACTTGTGAAGCTGAAGTCTCAGGTAACACCAGTGCACATCAGGATTTCTTTCTTGTGATTCTCCCTTCAGAATAACATTATACCTGTAGGGTTTCTTATTAAAATTAATGTTAAATGCATGTATCCTTTCATATTCACCTAATTTTTTGTATTCATAGACACATCACAAAGTTACATAAGTCTGGCATGTTTTCATTTGACGACATCCCCTATCTAAGCTCACTTTGGACACAGACACCAAAATTTCTGACTCATTACTCACGGGACCAGTTAACATTCAAGGAGCAAAATTAACTCAGCTTGTGAAAAAACAACCTTAATTAGATTCTTGATTGTTGGCTGGATTGGCCACAGACTGTTTCACTGAGTGGTATATATTTAATACAAGGTAATATATGAATATATATGTACATATATTGCTTTGGAAGATGCATTCAGTGGTCTTCCTCTTGTATAATTGGATTTACCTGGTAGGTACACATTACTTATCTGTGAAAAATTAGGGTTTCTGATACTGCAGTAATTTATTTTGGTATATGCTGCCTTCTGATGTAGTTAGGTCAATTAGTAAAACATCAGACTTTTAACCTTTATGTGATAGTCAGAGTGATTTGGTTCAATGCCTACTCAGGGTCAGTTTGTTTCTCTCAGAAATTCAGATCATAAACCATCCTGTCTTATCATTGTTGTGTCTTTAGGCAAGACACTTCATCTCAAGTGCTGTGGATTGTACGTAGCGATCCTGCAGAATACTCATATTCTCATTGAGGTAGACATCAGCTACTACAAGGTGACCTCACCTCAATATCTGAAGACAATTAGGCAAAGCCTTGTGCTGAAGTAAAAATGTTCATAAGTAAGGATTTCATGCTCAGAATTAGAGAATTGTATCATCTCTTGGTGAGATTCTTCTAATTTGACAATGGGAATTATGATGTCATTGTGAAATACTAATATCAATAATATGCACTTTGGAGGTACTTTATTGACATAAACTGTAATGATACTCTTCATGACTTTAAGATGGCCCTGTGTCAATTATGTAAATAAATTTATTTGTGGTTTCAGGATGACCGTGTTCTGATATTCAGCCAATTCACTATGATGATGGACATCATGGAGGATTATCTCAAGCAGAAAAAATATAAGTACATGCGACTAGACGGGTCAACCCCAGTACCAGACAGGTCAGTGGTAACTTCATTTAGCCAATGAGAAATAACAGCCTCCCAGCTTGTAGTGTCCATTGATTCTGACAACATTTTCCCTCCCAGAAGTCTCGTTAATTACTCTTTATTCAGAGAGTGCTTCCCTTTAAATTCAGCACATTTTTCCTTTGTGATATATATTATTCCCTGCTTAAATGTGAATCTTCATTTTGGGGTGTGTCTGTCCATCCATCTGGTTTTAGTTTCCATGTGATAACTTCACTATATATCAAAGAATTTTGATCAGATTTGCTTTACATGTTATTTCCTTCAGTCTGAGCCTGACTATCAACATTGTTCATTGACATTTATGCATAATTTATCAGGGAATTCACTTCATAATGTGTCCATTTGCATAGTATTACCAGTGTTCATGTTGTTTTTTATTACAAATGAAATGTCATATTATTTTACTCACTAGACACAAGCACATTGTAACTGACATATTTTTATAGAACACAAGTTTATTGTAAACAGATTCTTACATTACCCAGTAGATGATAGTTCAAAAAAATGCATGTTCATTTCAGTATAACTCCGGCTTTGTAGTGAAAAGATAAAAAAAATGTGAATGTTGGTTGAATATTCTATTCACAATTTTGAATATCATACTTTCCATGCTGAAGGGAGCAACACATAGCTGATTCAAAGTCAAGGGCTGAACATGTTACAGGACAGTTGAATTTGTGTGGGGTGATTACCAGACATGGGCTTATTGGCGGATTGATAGACCATATTAAGGGTGTGACTTGTAAGTAACATAGATCTTTTTGTTTCAGACTACAGATGATTGATGAATATACAAACAACCCAGATATATTTATCTTCCTGTTGTCTACAAAAGCTGGAGGTCTGGGAATCAACCTAACGGCAGCCAATGTTGTTATCATACACGACATAGATTTCAATCCATACAATGACAAACAAGCAGAGGATCGTTGCCACAGGGTGGGACAGAAAAGGTAGTCTAATAGGACAAAAAAGAGTGTTGGTTCTTTGTGTCTTTCAAAGTCATCATAACATTTCTTCAAATCTAAAGATCTTAAGAAAAAATTTTGTCTTTCTTTATGTATCCTCAATAGTCAGTGCCTTTTCACATATCCTCATCAGATGTCCACATCCTCAACACAGTATAATCAAATATAGTGGTAAAAAAGGGAATATGCAAAGATAACACCTGAATTTTAGCCAGATATATTTTGTTTCAATTAATTATACAATAATTACCAGTAAGTAAATCCAATTAGTTAATGAAGTGCTTCAGGACAATGAGTGATGATGTTGATTAAGACATTTATATATAAACAGCTAAGAAATTGCTTAGCCAATGTATTCTGTATGAATTTTTTACATTCATGTTCCAGGGAGGTGTCCATAGTGAGGCTCATCACAAAGGATACTGTAGAGGAAGGAATGCTGAGATGTGCTCAAGAGAAACTTAAGTTGGAGAAGGATATCACAACGAATGAAGGTAGGGTTAATAGAAGCAGGGCTTTTAAGGGTCAGGGAAGATTTTCAGACTGGACACTTCAGTTAATGTGTACAGTGGAACAATGTTACTTTGGAAATTTCAATTTGAGTCTGTGAGGTCATCCATTTGAAAAAATCTTTGGTATCAGATATCTCACTGATCTCTAAAGATGTACTCCATGTTTTCTACATCACATAGGACAACAGTTATTATCTCCCTGCTTGATTTTTGTAAGAATTTACAAAACAGGGAATTTTTACTTGCCAAAAAAATTTTGCAAAACTCAATATCATCAGAAAAATGTGACAATAGTGACCAATGGCATGAACTCGTCTTTCATTGCTAAAGGAAATCATGTGAAGATAATTTGGGGGCTTATATCTAACTTTCTTTTGTACTTACTATATATATACATTAGAAAGTAGGTAGTGTCACTAACCTCTATTACATCTAATCTCTGGTAAAAGCCTTCAAATTCATGTATGTGTTTGAAAGGGTTATCTGGTAAAAGATCTTATTGTCAATTCTCTCAAGAGTTATCATATTTGAATGTGTTTAGATGATGTAATGTGTTACTTTGACTCTCATATTGACTTCATCAGATCCAAAAATTGATTAAAAAATACTAATAGCTGTTCAAAAAATCAGGTGATTCTAGCATTTTACCAGAATTTAAGCAGGTCAATCTTAAGACTAATATCAGCTTGATCTGATGAGCTCGGTGAGTTGATGACAGTTGAAGGAGCATTGAGTTATTTACCTTGACGTTTCTTATTCTATCATACTCATTAATGATTGGCTCCTACTTAAAGTCAAGAACAAATTAAATGGTTATATGTTAACTGTTGATAAATGTTTCAGGGTCGGACAATGAGACTGGTGCAGATGTGGCATCATTACTGAAGGAAGCCCTAGGTCGGGGAAAGGTTTGATGACAGTTGTCTATAGGCAGTAGATAATTGTAGTATTGTTGGACATGCAAGTGACACATGGTCAAGGAATGTGGATGTTTGGTAGTGCTGTTGTGTATACCACTTACTTCAAATCAACTGCAGTGAATGTTTTGAAGTGTACAACCTGTGCAATGAGTACATATGTGCATTCAACCTAACTTAGGTACCTATTTCAGTGTAAGGTGTTTCCAGTTATTAGGCAATGAACACCATCAGTGTTGTAATACAAGGTGCATGTAGTTGACATTGTCTAGGAAGTGTAAGATCTCGCGATTAAAACCTGGTGCATACACTTACACAGTGCTAGTTTGCTAGTTTGGACCAGTGCCAACATCCTTAGAGAACAGATTCATCTTTGTGTCCTTACTCAGGGAAGATAAACTTTCTAATTGAGTCTGATGAATGATCTTAAATTAATGAATGATCTTAAACGGAGGCTGATGGATGATCTGAGAATGAGACGAAAGGATGATTAGAGACCAAGGCTGATAGATATCAGGGACCAAGACTGATGGATGACTTCAGACCAAGACTGATGGAGGGTTTGAGACCATGGTTAATTAATTATTTTAGACTGAGGCTGATAAAGATCTGGGACCGAGACTGATGGATGACTTCAGACCAAGACTGATGGAGGGTTTGAGACCGTGGTTAATGAATTATTTTAGACTGAGGCTGATAAAGATCTGGGACCGAGACTGATGAATGACTCCAGACCGAGGCTGATGTAGGGTTTGAAAGCGTGGTTAATTAATTATTTTAGACTGAGGCTGATAAAGATCTGGGACCGAGACTGATGAATGACTCCAGACCGAGGCTGATGTAGGGTTTGAGACCATGGTTAATGAATTATTTTAGACTGAGGCTGATTAATGTTAGCAAAACTGAGGCTGATGGATGATCTGAAATCTGGGCAGACAGATGCCAATGTGGGATTCAAGACAAAAGCTGATGACGGATGCTGATGAAGGATTCCTTTCCAAGGATGATGAATAATCTTAGGATTAATTTGCTGAGCAGTTTGAATGTTATGAACAACATGAAATCTAGATGGCTGAGGAATGATACTAGACTGAGTCTGATGAGAGAATGGAAACAAAGGATGATTCAATATCTTAAAGAGTCTGATTATAATGCCAAAGGAAATAACATGTCTCTATGATAAAGAATTGGATACCATTTTATGTGATTGGATGTGTTAAGAGCTTTCGCCATCAGGAAATTTTTCTCCGGCTCAGGGTTCTTCATGTATGTGATCTGGACTGTAGTGAAAGGTCAGCTAAGGTCAGCAAAGCCTTTCAAATGTATATACGAATCGAAATGGTTACGTGTTAAGCTCTGCTAAATTATTGTGAAGGATGAATAAATTACATTTTTTAATGAGCTTGGTATGTTCAGTTGCATATTCAAGATGCAAAAGAATATAGAAGTAACTTATCTGCTACAGGAATTGGCCAATCATATTGAAGCTTTTTCTTTTCGATTAAATGATCGGTAGCAATCATTACAAGAAAACCTTTGATAACCAAATCTACGAATTGAATAATAACCATTCTAGATTCTCTATGTATAGTATGTTCAAAGTCAACATTAAGTTTAATCAAAGATCTGGTTTTTTTTAGTATTGATTCGAAGAATATGATATATAGTGCTACGTTATGAACAATTACTTCTCTGTGTGTTAATATAGACCCACAGATATTTATTGATGGGCGTACAGTTTGTCAGAGATGAAATATGACTAGTATTTTGTGGACTGTTTCTCTTGCCAGTATTTTCCTACCATTTTGTTCAAGATGTTTTCCATTCCCAATGAATTTAGTACATTGTAATTGTTTTCCCTGGTTTAACAAAGAAAATTCCCTGCAATCGTAGATGTGAGTTCTTCTACTATAAGAAACATTCATTCTGACGTTTTCTAGAGATATGATATTAATGTTGCAGAAACGGTAGAGAAGAGGTGTGATATGC